GGGGAGGGAGGGTCACAGGTCCAGAATGTGTAGTGCCTTCAGAAGAAGAAGGGTAGAACTTAGTCAACACGAGATGTCACTTCTCCAACAGATAACAGCTCTCTGAACTAGCTCATGTCATTTGCTAAAAGGTAAAGGTTCCCCTCACACATATGTGCTAGTCATTCCCGACTCTAGGGGGCGGTGTTCATTTCCGTTTCAAAGCCAAAGAGCCAGCGCTGTCCGAAGACGTCTCTGTGGTCATATGGCCACCATGACTCAACGTCAAAGGTGCACGGAACCTTCCCACCAAAGGTGGTTCCTATTTTTCTACTTCCATTTTTTAACGTGCTTTTGAACTGCTAGGTTGGCAGAAGCTGGGACAAGGAGTGGGAACTCGCTCAAGGGATTCGAATCGCCCAACTGCCGACCTTTCTGATCGTCAACCTCAGCATCTTAGCCACTGAGGCACCGCGTCCCGCATTTGCTAAACGGTACCAATTTGTTTTCCCCCCCCTCCCAAAATGAGCCCAGCATTCACAATAAACATGGACAGAATGACACAGAATAATTCCAACTCAAAACAACCAAACAAGAGATTTCCTCTCAAGAACCGAACCATTACTTTGGATGTTTTTCCGTAGCTCCTAGATGAATTCTTGGCTGCCTATTTTACTTATTATTCTCTAGGGAAACAGACAGAAGCCATAGGAGAGTTAACCAATGGTTCATTAACTCCAATTCCCAGAGCACAGTTTGCATTCTGTTGCTTAGACAACAGATAGGTTACCAAGATTCCATCCTTGGATCTAGTCTTTCTTAAAGGGCTATCTGATCTTGAAGGAGGTGTTTTTTTTTTAAATGACACAGCTTGCAAACAACATCCAATCTATTTTGACAACTTAAATTCAAGGGCATGTGTAATGCATTTTTTTTGAAGTCCACAGATCTTCATTTAATGCATTCAAAAGACAATCAAGAGGCTTCATCTGAATCCATTAATTCTTCTAGGAACTTTTTTTTGGGGGGGGTCTTCTCACAGAGGGAGTAACCTGGGCATGCAAATCCGAAAGCCTTTTAGAGAGATTCCAACTCTCGAAAAGTTGCTGCGACATAATTTTTCATTTGCTGGTTTTTTCCATGTAAAAGTTTTAGTTTTTGTTTTTTTTTAAAGATAAAAAATGGCCAAGAGAATTTTAAAAAGGTAAAACATACAGGAGGTAAACATACAGGAGATTTAAAAACCTGTAAGTCGCTACCATTTTCCTTATCATTAATTAGGAATAATTGAATGTGTTACGTTAAGGAACTCAAAAAATCAAAAGTTCAAAAGTTAACATAGTATGACTCACCAAATCTTTTGCTGATAAACACACTCAGCTGCAATTTTTAATGTAATAGGAGAAAGTATAAACATATGATTACAGAGTAAATAATAGATTCCCTTCCTATTTGTATTTGATACGATTTGATTATAACAGTTGAATCCTACCACTTCATATACCGCATGCTCTCAAGTTACAACCTACTCATTCTCTTAAAACATGAGGTCGTGGTGCCCGTTTTGGGCTCACGTAATTTTTATTGTACAACATAATTCATTTCACCTTTCATTCTACCAAATCCTTTTCAGTGGTCTCCAATCTTGGCAACTTTAAGACTTCTGGATTTCAACTCCCAGAGTTCCTCAGTCAGCTTTGCTGGCTGAGGAACTCTGGGAGTTGAAGTCCACAGGTCTTAAAGTTGCCAAGATTGGAGACCACTGCTTTAGATGATTGATAGGAAACTATCTTAGAGATAGGGCGTTGGTACTTACCTGATACGCCTCTTCTNGCAAGCCACTCCCACAAAGCAGGCCATACCTACAGAAGAGGTTCTAAAAAAATTTGAAACCCACCACTGGACTACAGCCATACAGACAAAAATTGCCCAAGCCTCTGGGGAATTAATTTGTATGTTGTTCAGAAAAGCTCCATCCAGAAGCCAATATTTAGGATTGGCAGACAAAAGGAATATCCGAACATTATGGAATGCATGTAAAGAATGTTGTACCTTACAAACTGCCAACTGATAGTTAGAACTGCAGAAAAAACAACTGCAACCAGCCTGCCTTCCACTGTGGACTTACTCACTGCAGGAGCCAGAAAGAGGGATGAGAAAATGTCTACACATCCCCTAACATCCTGGACATAAACCGTTTCAACTCTTCCCCCTCCGGACGCAGCTACACGGCATTGCATACCAAAACTGCTAGACACAAGAGACAGGTTTTCCCCCATGCCATCACTCTGCTAAACACCTAATTCCCATAGCCGTCTTATGCCTAAGAATATTTACCTACAGTATATAGTAGGGAGTAACTTGATTATCCTTCTCATCTTTCCTATTACCTTCTCCTATTGGTAACTTATGATTGTATTACCTTGTTCTTTGTGTGCACTTTGAGAGGTTAAGCACCGGAGACAAATTCCTTGCGTTTCCAATCACATTTGGCCAATAAAGAATTCTAATGCAGTGGTTAGAATGCAGTATTGCAGGCAAAGTCTGCTGACTGCTAGCTGTTCGATCCTGACCCGATCAAGGTTGATCCTGCTAGCAGTTCGATCCTGACCCGCTCAGCCTTCCATCCTTCTGAGGTCGGTGAAATGAGAATCCACATTATTGGGGGCAATATGCTGACTCTGTAAACTGCTTAAGAGACTGCTGTGAAGCACTATGAAGCAATATATATGTCTATGTGCTATTGCTATCTATTCTATTCACAAAAGGAATGGCAATCTGCAACCTCTAATAATATACAAATGAAGGCTCACAAGAAAAAAAATCTAATTTCTTGTACCTTACAGCATAGAATTTCAGTCTTGAAAAGTACTAAACATTCAAGTTCAAAACATACTGTAAGAAAAATCGAGATGGTCTCTGCTGAGAACCTCCAAGATAAAGCAAGGAAAAGATGTATTCATTTAAGGATTTGAATGAGCCAAAAAAGCTCTTCAATTATGAAGAACATTTATATAATCTGGAAATCTTGCTTAGGTAGAAGATAAAAGGTTACAATCTCTCTTATATTGAGAATTCCCAACAAGGTGCAGCAACTGGACGTCTCATTATGCAAGTTTTGTGTATTACCTAGAATTGTGGAATAGGCAACAATTGTTTTGGTGATCGAACATGTAAAATCCAAAAGAAGCCACCCTTTATTATGATTCTGCATGACATATAAATGCTTTCACACACTTTCTATACCAGACTTGCCAACCTAGGGGTTTCAACTTCCATATGGAAAGGCCCTTCCATTTATGGTGGCTTCATAACTACCTTTTCACAGCAAATATGTTTCCAGTGGATGGAAGAGGTACCCTAAAATATGAGTCCTACCTGTGCAAAAGTTAAGATGCAAGCTTTTCATAGTATTCGAGGTAAGGGCCAATGATTTCCCTTCAACTGGAAAGGAAAAAAAATCCAAGTCCTAGGGAGCTCCAAATGCAGCTTTCATGTTTATAAACCCTGGTTGGATTCATATATTAAAATATGACTTGTCCGTTTGCGGCATGTCATTAATGCTGCCAGCAAGAACAGTTTCGTATCTGTTTAATATGTAATTTAGTACCTAAAAAAATTCTTACATACATCTAGCCACTTAGGTTAAATCAATAGGGTGGCCTTCTGCTATCTGGGAAGCCTTCAAACATAAGGCATTAATTAATTTGATTGTCCTGCCTTTATTACTTTGCCTTTCTCTTCCTCTTTTCCACACCACAATCCTGGGTGGTGGTTTGGGCTGAGAGTGACTGGACCCATATCAGTAAGATAGCCTTCATGCCAAAGATAGGACTAAAACTCACCCATCTCCTAATTTCTAGGCCAGCACCTTTAACACACCACCAGCCTGGCTTTGTTTTTAATTCCCCATCCATCACAACCACAGCAAAAGAATTCGGAAAGATGAAATCTGTACAACTAAAAGAGGCCGGGTGTAGGGAAAGCTGGGCGAACATATTGTGTGAATGCGGATTAGTAAGCCCAAAGGAAGCTCATGCCACTCTCTCTCCCTCTTTTCTAGCCCTGCCATTTGTGAACACAACGCATCAAAGATATCAAATTGTGGTTTCCTTTTTAAATTTTCTCTAGGTTTACAAGTAGAGGAGGAGGAGGAGGAGAAACAATGCCACCACATCTACCCACCCCACCTGCATTGTACAGAAATGTACACATGTCCCCATCGCATAATAAACGAAGAGAGAAACCTAACAACTTTGATCAATTTCTTCCTCTTAAGATTGGCAGCAACATTTTTTTTCTTCTTCTACTGCTACCGATTTTTCTTTCTTCCTTTCCTTCTTTAAAAGGAGAGAACCCACGTGTCCCCACCTCACTAGATTCTCCCCCCCTCTTCCATATGTTATTATTATTATTATCTCTCTCTCTCTTCCTTAATTGGGAAAGTAGCCCATTTCCCCAAAGTCCAATTCTTCCTCCAGCCAAAACATCTGACAAAGGTTCACTTAAGGGGGGGGGGAGGAGGAAGAGGGCAGGAAATGAATACTTGCGAGGGGGGAATCATCAACCCACCCACCCCCTTTTAATTCCCATTACCCAACTCCCCTCCTTCTCTTCTGACTTGTGGGGTGGGGGGAATAAAAGGGCGCCTGGACCTCCTACTCTTTTGGGTGGGGGAGACACGGCTTGAGGGGGAAGGCGGACAGAAGCCGAAAGGAACCCATCACCTTCCCAACGCGCGTCGGCGGGTTCTCACGACAACACGGCCAGAAACCGGACACGCGTGTCTGGAGCTGCTCGTGCGAACCCAGCGCGGCGATCGATCGCTTGATTGAGTGGGTGGGTGGGCTGCGACTCCTGCCCAGCCTGTTGCACGGGAGCACCCCAGTCGGGGTGGGGAATCCCGAGGAAAGTCGAAGCCCTTCCGAAGAACCCCCATCCCTCCATACGCCACAAGCTGAGAAGAGACCAGCTCCTTCCGACGCTCCGGGGGTTTCCTCTCGAGGAAGCCCCGCACTTACAGCCGGGGCGATGCTTCCCCTCGGGAAGATCCGCCGCTCGCTCGCTGCCTTCGGGGGCTGCCGCTGCTGGGTCCTCGTCCTCCGCCGCCACAGCCGCCGCTCCCGCGATCGTCGATGGACTGAGGGCGCCCCTCCCGAACGCGGTCTAAGAGGCGACGCGCTGGAAGCAAGAGAAGGCGAGGCGGCGCCGGAGCAACGGAGGTCCTCATGACCCGCCCCCTCTCACTCCCCTCCCTCCGCCTCCGAGCACAAGACGGTCCTCAACTCGAACGCCTCGGCCAATCGCCTCCCGAGGCGAGAAAAAGGGGCGGGCCGAGCGCGAGGTGGGCGGAGGCGCAGCCCGAGCCGGCCAATCGGAACGCGGACGCTCTCGACGTCGTTGGGCGCCGAGTGGTGGCAAATTCACAAAACCCCGGGAAAGTGGGCGGGGCCGCAGGCCTGGGTGGGAGGGGGGAGCGAGCAGGAGCCGGAGAAAGCAAAACGGGGTTAGCTTAGTTCAGAGGTCTTCAAACTTGACCACTTTAAGACTTGTGGACTTCGAAGCTCTGCTGGCTGGGGAATTCTGGGAGTTGAAGTCCACAAGTCTTAAAGTGGCCAAGTTTGGGGACCCCTGGTTTAGTTAGTGCCTGCATTCCTCTGCCCTGGGGACAGCAGTTTAACTGGTTTGTTGGCCGAGCAATGGGCTGAAATCAAACCTCCCCCCAAAAAATCTTGGTTTACTCGCTTCAGTGAATGGGTTCGTCCGTCTGTTCAAAGGGGTCAGTCAGTGTGGAGTCCTGGGTGCTGTGTGAGATGTGTTTCTTTGCCTGCATCCTCTTGAAAACCTTTGGGTTTCCTTGCAGACTTTTCATTACCCGAGTAGGTAACATCACTGATGTTGTTACCTAGTCAGGTAATGAAATGTCTACAAGCAATCGGCAGCGCACCACGGACTCAACAGTTCAATCTAGAGTATTGTCCATTCCTCTGCTTACATTAGAATTCCTTATGCCACCAGGCTCAAACTTTTGGCCTTGGACAATCTGGAACTGCACCGCCTGCGATTGGACCTAAGCATAGTACACAGAAATTGTCTGCTACAACGTCCTACCTGTCAACGACTACTTCAGCTTCAACCACAGCAATACGAGGGCAAACAATTGATACAAACTCAAGGTAAACCGCTCCAAACTCGATTGCAGAAAATATTACTTCAGCAACAGAGTGGTCTAAGAAGTCCGTAAGGGAAAATGCATAAGCACATCAGCGTGCCTACCGTCCCTGTCCTACTGTCCCCATTTACTTGTATTCATTTCCTTTGGACAATCTATTTCCTTTGTCCATGTTCATACCTGCACAGGTTTGACAAACTACCGGTAATAGATAAATAAACGTACATTCTTTTCTATTAGTCCAGAAATTTTCTGAACAAAGCCAGCAGGAAGTTGTGAGGTTAGTTTAGGGCTTAGCACATTGCGCAAACCCCTGGAAAATGGATTAATAAATGAAACATGTGGTTAACCTGTGCATAGGTTGTGCAAACACTATACGTTGGAGGACCTCAAGATTCGAATATTACTCAAAGCAGACTCTGTGCCAATTTTCCACACCGGATCTAAAAAAAACAAAAACCAAGCAATGCAGGTAGTCCTCACTTACAACCACAAGTGAGCCCAAAATTTCTGTTAAGTGAGACATTTAAATGAGTGTCGCCGTCATTTTATGATGTTTCTTGCCACAGTTGTTAAATGGATTACTATAGTTGTTAATGTGGTTGTGAACTGAATCAGGCTTCCCCATTGACGTTGCTTGTCAGAAGGTTGCAAAAGGTGATTGCATAACCCTGGGACACCGCAACATGACATCTCATCATAAATGAGAGCCAGAAGAGCCGAGGTGGCGCAGTGGTTAAATGCAGCACTGCAGGCTACTTCAGCTGACTGCAGTTCTGCAGTTCGGCTGTTCAAATCTCACCGGCTCAGNCCTTGAGGAGATGAGTCAGAAGAATGGGTAGTCCTGCTGGCCAGGGGGCGTTACCCAAAGAGCTTATCTGACTCATCCAATCATGAGAGGACGAAGTCAACACCCATCCTGGATACTCCTCCCCCCTCACTATGGAGAACATCTGATTTAGCATCCCTTTTCAATCCATTTAAGTTGTGGCTGCTCCAACATTGGAGGTTTTTAAGAAGCGATTGGACAACTCTTCATCTGAAATGGTATATGGTTTCCTGCATAAACAGGAGTGGATGGGTGGAGTAGAAGACCTCCAAAGTCCCTTCCAATTCCGTTATTCTGTTCATACAAGAGCTGAATGTAATGGCGTTCCAGCCTTTATTTAAATAGCTCTAAAGAAAGGAACATCCCTCTCAAATTTCCAGAGATCACCTCCTGTCAACCAATTTCTGTTAGTTCCCCCCCCCCCCACTTAAGTTTTAGTTAAAAACTGCTTTCCTTCCATTTCTGTCTCCTGGGCTCTAGTCCTAAAGGCCCAGTAATGAAACACATTTTTGTTTGTGTACCTGAAGAAAGAACTGTTGCAATCTGCACAGAAGGAAAAAGAAGTACAATAAATCTGAGTTAGCTATTAAAAAGTATATGTATGGACAAGCAAAGCTAAGTTTTGTCCACCCTGATTCAGAGATAGGAAGCTACACAGAAAATGATTAACCAAGCTGATCCAAGTGTTGAAATGTGTTTTATATGGGGAACACTAAAACAAAGTGTATTGCTTTTCCTTGGAAAAAGGGAATAAGATAGTGGCATGAAAATATTGTATTTATCATTGAAGGAAGCTAGAGAGAACTTCTTGTTACTATAATAACCATTCGGAATCTCCCAATGAAAAGGAGTCAGTTATAGATGCAAAAGAAACTACCTATGCATTTCTTCGTGCAATGCACAAGCTAGCCAATGCAATTTGCTTATCATCAGGAATGGCAATGGCCACAGACTTTGGTAACTTTCAAAGGTAATCAGGCGAACGAACAGAAAAAAAACCTGAAATTAATGGAGCAAAACTCATCTGCTGCCATGGCCACCACCACAGAACACTAAGTCTATGTTCAGAGTTTACCTTTTCTTTTTTTAATTAATTACTGAATTTACACCCTGCCTTTCTGTTCAAAAATAAACCTTATGGCAGTTTGCTGCCATTAAAAGCAGGTGGAGTGTAAAATTATTCCAATAAAACCGGTCATTAAAATTCAAGTGTTGGGAGAAAACAACAGGAGGAAAACACCACCTTGCTTCTGAACTTCGGACTATCGTACTTACAGCTTTTGAAAAGTTTGCTAGTCTGGAGTTCAGAAGCAAGATGTACACTTCTGTGTTTTTCTTCCCCAACAAGGAGAAAAATCTGATTCTAATAAGGAGAGTCAGACTTGATTTGCATTTGGATGGGAGATTAAATGCTATCTCAAAATCCAGGACTGGATCTTAGTTTGGTAAATGCAAAAAAAAAAGAGAAAAAAACCTGCATTAGAAAGAAGCCAATGGCAAATAGCAGCTTTTCTGCTGTTCCCAGTATCAAGGACCTACTCAGGAATTACAGGTAGTCCTTGACTTACAACCACAATTGAGCTAAACATTTCTGCTGCTAAGCAAGATATTCAGTAAGCTAGTTTTGCCCCGTTTTAAGACCTTTCTTGACACAGCTGTGAAAGTGAGCCACCATTGTTGTTAAGTTAGTTGCACAGTTGTTAAGTGAATCTGGTTGAAAAAGGGAATCACACAATCCCAGGACACTGCAGACATCATTACATATGAACTGGTTGCCAAGCATCCAAATTTTGATCATGTAACCATGGGGATGCCACTACGGTTGTGTGAAAAATGGTCACAACTCACTTTTCCAATGCCGTCGTAACTTCGCACAGTTACTAAATGAACTGTTGTAAGTCGAGGACTACCTATAATCCAATGATTCTCAACCTTTTCTTCACCATGGACCCCTTTTAAATACATTTTGTGGCCACAGACCATGGCCACAAACCCCCAAGACTTAACTTGAGATTTAAATCATAGCAGGCTCCAAGATCACCGCAGAGGGGGACTGCAGCCAAGAAATGAAAAGACGCTTGCTCCTGGGGAGGAAAGCGATGGCAAATCTAGGCAGCAGACTAAAAAGCAGAGACATCACCCTGCCAATAAAAGGGAGTATAGTCAAGGCTATGGTTTTCCCAGTTGCAATGTATGGCTGTGAAAGTTGGACCGAAAGGAAGGCTGAGCGCCAAAGAATGGAGGCCTTTAAACTATGGTGCTGGAGAAGACTCCTGCGAGTTCCCTGGACTGGAAGGCGATCCAACCGGTCAGTCTTGGGGAGATCAACCCCGACTGTTCTTTAGAAGGCCAGATCACTGGAGAAGAGTCTCATGCCGGGAACGATGGAGGGCAAAAGAAGAAGGGGATGACAGAGAATGAGGTGGCTGGATGGAGTCATCGAAGCAGTCGGCGTGAGCTTCAATGGACTCCAGAGGACGGTAGAGGGCAGGAAGGCCTGGAGGGACGTTGTCCATGGGGTCGGTCGGGATGAGTCGGACACGACTTCGCAACTAACAACAACAACATTCTTCAAACGTCCACAGGGGTCCACAGACACCACAGGTGGGGAACCAGTGAAGTAATCAATTAAGTCCAGTTCCTGAAATGTTTGCCCTTTTCTGGATTTGACGTCACCCTTAAGAGGATACTTTAGAAGAAGCAAAAGCAGGGAAATTACTTTCCAAGACTTCAGGAGAAGGTAAGAAACAGGAATATTATTCTCTCCCCATCCCTGACATTTTCTTTTTGCTATTGTTTCATCACTTTTTTTTTGCAGTCTGGTTGGGTTGAAGGTTAGGAAGCCTGACGGATCCGACAAAAAAAACCCCAAAACACTTTTCAAGCCCAACAGCTGAAGCCATCATGCTATTTTATTTATAAAGCATCTAAAATTATGAGGTGCTGAACAGTAAAATGGAGAGTTCTCTGCCCACAGACTCAAGTCTAAAATTAACCAACATCTTTCCTTCTTACAATGAAACAAAAGGAGGGGGGGAATGTAGAGAAACAAAAGGAAAGACTGAAAAATCTTTGCAAAACCACCTCTTTGCTCATCTCTAGTAAAATCCATTTCTCGATACCTATATAGCTGTTCACTGGGATACAGGTATTGTTCTGACCGAGGCTTCCCAAGAGCATGAAGCAAACTCCTGGTCCCGACAAAAACTCCTT